GAAAGGAACAAGTTGATATTGAATAAAGACAAAACTTCTGTAATTAACTTTCATATGGAAAAAATGATTCCTTTAAACAGTACAACATCTTTAAAAGTGAATACGGATTGCAGTTGGGGTTAAATTTCTTGGTAGCTGGTTTGATGCAGATCTATCTTTTGAAACTCAAACAATATTTGTCTTAATTTAAACAAAATTGTATAAATATACGTACTGTTTCATTTGAAAATATTTGGACGAAAAAACTCGCCCTTTTTTTATACTGAAACAGCCGCGCAGGCAGAAGCCTAAATGCCAGAGCACCGCGGATTTTTTTTTATACTCCAACTACCACGAAGGCCTAAGGCCTAAGCACCCATTGGATGGGGGAAAGGGGGAACGCCACACGGACTCTGGCGAGGGAACACGTGTGCAAGCAACATGCATACATTCTGGCTCCGCCTACGAGATCCGCCGGGTGGTACCTCCGCGTTCGACAGTCAGAGACCGTCTACCACCTACGGACAATCACAACATCCATAGCCAAGAGAAAAAAGTCTCCAGTTTTCCAGCACAGCTTGTCACTCTGAATGGAAAGGAAAGGAGGTGGTTGATAGGCAAGAGGGACAGTGTCAGAGCCAAGACCGATCCCTGGGGAACACCCGCGTTAACGTCGTGGCCAGAGAGTAAGTCGGCCACCCATCTGCAAAGCTTTTCTGGGAGACCATAGTATGGAAGTTTGCATGAGACTGGATGGGTTTACTTGCACTGGAAGAAACTGTATACTAAATACAACTTCCGGAACAAGCATTTGCCATGGCCCTGCTCAGTATGGGGCATATGTATTTGTATACAACCACTTTGTTCTATGTTGTGGTAGAGCCATTGGCATCAAGAGTTTTTAGTTCACAAAAATGCCTCATCATCATCATTTGATCTTAATTTCAGGGAAAGTTGCATGTTTTTGTCAACAACAAACCGCTAATCATACCTTGTATATACTCGTACATACAGGATGAGTTTTTAGTGTGAGTTCGGTCGATAACTCCATTATTCCGACTGATATATAAAAAAATTGATTACAAAAATTGAAGCCAACAGTATGTACAATACTTGTAAAGTATTTTTATTTCTATATGGTGATATATAACTATGTGACCCAAACATATATTTTTTAAATTGTAAGACCTACATTTTATTGCAAATTCGCTTAGTCTGTTTCAAACGAAACAGTCTGATATACTACAGGGTTTCATCTCTAAATTGTTGAGATTATGAACAATCTATCAAAAAAAAAACACAACTTTGATAACTCGTATCTCTGCAACAGTTATGGTTAAACTACAGATTTTTTCGTCAGAAGAATTTTTTTCTATTAATTTTCTCTCAATCCAGTTAATGTTTCAGTTTTTTCGATACACTGTACAGGGTGGTCAAAAACGCAAAAAGAACCAAGATAGAAAATATGGGATCATAAAATTCTGTTAATAGTTGCGGAGGTGCGAGTTGTCAAAATTGAGTTCTTTTGATAGATTGTCTAATATCTGAACAATATAAAAATAGAACCCTACATACAGTATGTTATATCAAATGGCTTCATTTTGGAAGGGCTAACCTGAATCTGTAATAAAGTGTGGAACTTCCATTTAAAAAATGCATGTTTGGGTCACCAGCTAGTTATGAATTACCTTGTAAAAATAAAAATATTTTCAAAATACATAACATATTAATAGCTATGATTTTTTTCAACTTTTTCAGATACCATGCATAACATCAGTTATCAACCAAACCCGCACTAAAAACTCACCCTGTATATACGTGTATAAATCATATTAAACAAAACATTAATAAATTTTAAACATTTATGTTAATCTATAATAATTTATTTACAAATGCAAAGAACTAGAACACAAATCTATGAGTCTTTGCCTGTAGTCCAATTTCTTGGCCTTTCAGCAGTTAGAGTGAAGTCCCAGTCCCATATTCCCCTACTTGCAATTGGAGGATTTCGTGGTGTTACATCCCATCCATTTTGAACAGCATATTTTTTGCCAATGGCCAAAATACCTGGAATTAAATAGATGTCAGGAATATTTATCTGCATAAGCAGCTGATTTGATATTTTGGGAAATTAATAAAAAATGGAATTTTAACAAATAAAAAATTGCTTTAAATTGCAAATTTCATTACTTTTAAAAGCACCAAAAGGTTGTATCAACTGACTAAAGATTATTTTCATTGATAAACATATGGGGTTGTCTAACTCAATTTAAAACCATGCTTCTGCAAAAACAGGCCATGCACTTTGGCGCTGCCATCCACTTAATCTTACAACTATTTACCACATCTTGTGGTGTCAACATTACCACCAGAGACTGCTGCTATAGGTTCTAGGTTTTGCTTTTCCACTGTTGGAATTTTTATTTAATTTATTTTTATTACTTCTGTCTTCTGACTTGGTAACATGACTGTGACAGTGGACATTATATTTGAAAGTCCAAATACTACAATGCTGTGCTTATTGTGTTGCCTTGTGCTTAATGTACTCATATGTATAATAAAGTTTTCTATAATAGTCACTATTATGGAAATTTGAAATCATTAAATACAAAGTAGTTTACCAAAAAGCATTCCCATGTTCCATCCAGTCATCACCCGTCTCCTCCAAACACCCATCATTGCTCCAGCTGCAAACCCACCTAGGAACCAGTTTAGTAAATCATCCTTGCCCCTGATACTTGCTGCAGCATTCGTTGTGCATACAAATGCTGTAGTAGCTCCTATTATCGGAAACGACATGTAGCCATATCGGCCTAGGGTTTCCAAATAGCCCTTGGGGTGAGAGTACAACAACACATCAGCTGTTCCTACAAAGAACGATGTAGCAATTGCGGGTTTGATGGCAAGCCACAGCTTTTTGAATGTTTCTTGTCCATCAGGGGTGTCGAAATAGCGATCGAAATAACGACGAGGTTTTATTTCAGACATTTTTTTGAAAGTTCTTAGTTATATAAGCAAACTTTTAGGTTAGAGTTTGTCACTTTGACATCACTGCTTGACAGCCTGACGCTTTTGATACTAGATGGGAGGGTTGGCGCATCTACCGATTTTTCGGTATTTCTACCGAGACCTTATTTACGGAAATGCGGAAAACGTCATTTCCAGGATTTATTAAAATAAGCCAGTTTTTTCCATATTGATTACTGAAAAAGAGCTGGAACCTAAAATAAAATTAAAACATGAATACAATGTAGTTTTATGCCTCATAATAGTCATACATAAGCGTACACTTGGGCAGTCGGGCACACGAGGGAAGTATATTTGGGTTGCCTATAATTATGTCCGCACATCACTTACGCCGCTTTAGTCTAATCATATTACACTAAAATACCCCAGGTTTGCAAAATAATTGTAAAGTCTGGTTTTATTGCTGCAAGTTGTTCAATGGGGTATTCAAAACATGGACGAATAAAATGGCTGCACCAATTTTTGTGGGAAAACTTTTTATTCGACAACAAAGAATGAGAAACCGTGTTTTTTGTTATTCAACCGAAAGTGTTGGCAGGAACGAAAAAACTCTTCATATAAGATTTTTAGGTATTTATGAGACCTACACAATGAGACTACACGTAAAAAGATCCGACTAAGAGCAAAAAAGTTATAGCCGAAAACCGAGGCAAACTGCAGGTTTTGGCAGTTGTTGGTAATGCAACGATGGTTTCTCGCAGATATTTGAAATTCTCCAAATTCGTAGGATTCGTACTTCTAAATAACCACAACAAAATTGGAGTAGATTGGTCAAATAGTTTTTGAGAATTTCTAATTGTTTATCTCAAAACACTTGCTTCCGTCCATCACAACTAATTTATTGAGCAATATACAGGGTTGGTTCAAAGGGCATTTTATAGCACATTAGTTCACCTTGCCAATATGAATCGCAAACCATTCCGGAAGACAAAAATGTTATTTTTATTCCAAAAAGGTTGGGTTACGTTTTTTCTTCTAATCAAATTCAAACATTTCGTATATGTGAGTAATTGGCAACAAAAGATGTTAAGACACGTCCGCTTTGTTTTAAAATGTGTATAGTAACGTACGTTTTTCGAATATCGTAGCACATTTGTTCAATAACTCACATGTTTGAATTCGTGTAGAAGAAAAAAGCGTAACCTTTGTTTTCCGCACAAAAATAACATATACATCTTTCGGAATGGTTTGTGGTTTATATCGGCAAGGTAAACACGTGCATTTTGCTATTAAATGCTCTTTGAACGAACCCTGTATGTTGCTCAATAAACTAGTAGTGATGGCCGGAAGACAGGAGTTTTGGGATAAACAATTAGATATTCTCAAAGAACTACTTGACCAATCTAATCGAATTTTGTTGTTATCATTTAGAAGTATGAATTCTACAGATATGAAAAATTTCAAATAGTTGCGTGAAATTATCGTCGCATTACCAACAAGTGCGGACATCTGCATTTTGCCTTTTTTTCGGCCATGACATTTTTGCTACTAGTCGGATCTTTTTGCGTTTGGTCTCATTTTGTAGATCTCATAAATACCTAAAAATCTTATATGAAAAGTTTTTTTGTTCCTGTCAACACTTTAGATTGAATTCCAAAAAATCCGTTTTCTCATTCTTTTTTTGTCAAATAAAAAGTTTTCCCACAAAAATTGGTGTACCCATTGCGTCCATGTTTTAAATACCCCCTTCAACAACTTGCACCGATAAAACCAGACGTTCCCATATTGGTTTTTGTGTACAATAGGTACGGATTGGTAGATCGCCGTCATTATCGCATCATCGGACAGCAATAAGGAAACTAAAGCTCGCCTTCTTTTAATTGAATATTAAATTAAGAGGTGATGTGACTTCAAGTTGAGGAGAAGAACTAAATGTTATTCACGGAATAGATACCTTCAAAAAAACCTGTGTTGTGTATGTGCGCGCACTGCAAAAATATACCTTTTTTATAGAGGGCGCTGCGTGACCCAGGGTCCCTTTCCTTAGCTGAGTTTTCTTCCTACCGATTTTGTCCTTGAATCTATGGAATTTCAAGCACACTGTTTGACGATTTCGTCTTTTTCGGCTCGGCAACACTGCTAGAAGGTGATACATACAGAACAATAAAGTTTTGTCGTTTTGTAGCGTGTGTCTGTAGCCATACTCTACGATTTGTGAAATCAAAATTTACCTGTCTTTTTTATGAATGACAAACAACATCAAAATAAACAATTTCTCATTAGTTGTCAGATAATTGATAAATTTATTATACAACTGCCACTCGTGGTAAAATAAAGAAATGGACTGATTTATATACAAAGAAACTAAATTTCGCGTAAAAATGTGAGAAAATGGTCTATAATCCACAATGGCTGAGGATAAGTTATTTGTGTCTTTTGCATGCCAACGATGTTCACAAAATCTTCGACTAGACGAATCACTACATTCTTTCAGTGAGCATACATCAGCTGAGCTCAACTGTAAGTATAAGTATATTTTCCTTCACGGTTTTAAGTTTTTATACGTTTTTGCAGTACCAATACATTCCAATCCAGATGTTGATCTTGAATCACAGGCCACTAGCTTTGATCACTATGTGCCACCATGTAGACTGTCAGATTCTGTAAATGGTGCAAATGGATTCATGTTGATCTCTGATGAAAATGAAGTGGATCTGCTTAGTCACCAGTTCAAGGTATATCTCAATGTTTGCATATTTTTTTATGTCTGGATAACTATGTTATAAATTCAAGCTTATTTTGGAACAAGTTTCTCCCAGATATAGAGGATGTCTCGAAAATGGCAGACAATCCTACAACTGTATACCCTGTTTCATGAGTATTCAACGCAGCAGTATGACAGCTGATTATGCACTAATATCACAGAGTATAGGCATATTCTTTAATTCACCGGTTGAGCCACCGTTGCAACCAATTAACCAATTTTACTTCTTTTAATTTCCATCTGAGCGATCGGTTGTACTCTAATCAGTTGTTCACCTCAGTAGACATCAAAGCGTGATTGATACTCATGAAATAGGGTATAGATAGGTCACATCATGTCCTACTAAGTGATATTTTGTTTTAGTAAAAGTCTTACAGCTTTAGGGTCATATTGTCAATCGTTCCTACAATTTATTGTAGGGCACCTTCAAGCCTCCTTGATTATCATAGTTTTGAGGTTATGTTACAAATATGTTTGCATCAAATTGTTCATACTTTTGATTTTTATCATCATTTTTATCAGCCTGAAATTTCCTACAATTCAAAAACATAATTAGGAGAGCGCTGACACTGACACGGAACAGTAGAAATCTAAACGCTGTATCATCAGTATTACCTACAAATGTTGGCCTCCTTGATTCTCATAGTCTTCTCTCTCCTTCAGTAAGACTGGGGTATTTCTAGATTTCTACTGTTACGTGTCAGCGTCAGAGCTCTCCTATTATGAGGTTAGTTTTTTTTTTTAATTGTAGGAAATTTCAGGATGATATAAATCAAAACCATGAACAATTTGATGCAAATAGGTATATGTAACATAACCTCCAAATGGAACAGTAGAAAACTATGAACATCAAGATGGCCATAAAGACGTCCTACATTTGTAGGAACAACTGATGATACGACCCTAAAGGCCTATTCATACTCAGCCGTGACGTGCAAGTGCTGTGACCGGCACGTGATCGGCCCAGCGAAACTAAAAAGTTTCTTCCTAGAATTTGGATGAACTGATTCACACTAGACCGGCACGTGAAAGTGGCCGTGCTCTCAGTGCCCTCGACGACGCCGTACCGTGATCATCGCATTGTTTTGTAACAATATTTTTCGATTTTCACGGCCATGTTTTTATGTAATTTCGTGAATATTTTGATATATTTGGTCAAAAACATGAATGATGAAAAACTAATTGAATTTGTGCACGCACATCCCGTGCTGTACAACCAGTCAAATTCAAAATACATGGACTCAGATTACAAGAATTCTATATGGAGTAAAATAGGAGCAGAAATAAAATCAGATGGTGAGTACCTACATGTTTATTTTAATTAGGTTATGTTATAAATAGTAGCAACAAGACATTGAAATTATATTGCTTTATACCTACAAAGGAAGTTCCTTAAGATGTTTGTACTTCTGACCAAGGGAGGGTCCCACAATCAGAACTGAAATAGTAAGTGAATATTTCTCGTACACGGAATGCTTCTCTCGACGCGATCTCTGCTTGAGAATTTATACTTCGTAGAGCTCCAACCCCACTCTTCGTATCCTCTGACGAAGCAACGTACTGATACGTGTTGCAATCGTATTTTTTGATAAAGTTATGCAGCAAGCATGTGGACAAAATTAAGTAATCTGCATGATTTGGAAGCACCTGAATTCGTCTATTGTACAGTCTAAATGTTTGCGTCAAAATTCCAAAAGTGTTCTCTGAAGTTCTTCTGGCACGGCTTAAACGATAATTGTATTGACGTTTCTTATCGTCCAAATTATCTCCTGGATATGGTCTCATTAAGTACGTTTTCAGGGGAAATGCTTTAACCCCAACAATAACGTTTGGAACTTTAATGTATGTATTTGGTAAGGTAGATCCAGCTGGTATATTCAGTGTCCGATCGTGTAGTGATTTTCCCAGCTTTGATTTGGAAAAACCCCCCATCACTGCTCTTACCATAGGCCCCTATGTCGACCGTAATAAAATTGCAATGAGCACCTACAAGAGCTAATAGAACAACTGAGAATGTCTTTTTATAATTAAAGAACATTGAACCACTGTTGGGAGGAGCCTGGATAACGATATGTTTTCCATCGATTGCTCCAATACAATTTGGAAAATTCCACATTTCTTGATAATCATTACCTATTTTCTTCCACATTTCCTCTGTAGGAGTAGGCAACAATTCTGTCATCAGATTCTTCGCGATAATCTTGCAGGTTTCTCGCCCAATCTTCTGAACTGTACTGTGCCCTATATGATAGCTGAACGAGATTGTGTTGAATGCATCTCCAGTGACCGAATACCTAGGGAAAATTAATTTGGGTTAACATTGTCTATTTCATTATATTTATTTTTATTATTATATAAATATTTATTACTTTATTAATTGAACTACCGACAATAGCTCTTTTTCACGTTTCAGGTCCTGCATGTAAAACCAGATGGGCAGATATAAGCAACAATTTCAGATAATCTTTGCAAAAACAAAAAATTAAGAGTGGTCAAAATGCTAAGATCATTCAGCCTTACAAATAATCAGAGCAGTTGAAGTTTTTGGTCAAATTATTTGAAGAGAGGGAGACATTGACAAACCTTGATAGGGGAGAAACCATTCAAGAATTGACTGGTGCAGAATTACGAGACAGGGATGATGTATACCTCGAAAACGAAGAAAATGGTAGGGATGCTGAAGAGGCAACAAACCCAGGGGATACGAAAGTCCTACGTCAGAATGCGCCCATATCGAAACAGATGGGTTCAAAGGCTATGCCACAAAAGAAAAAAAAGTTCTCAAAGAAGGAACCTCCCCGAACCGCGGCAGCTACCCTTATGGAATATGTCGTTAAAAAAAAATGAAAGTGTGGCTACTCCACCTTCACCACAGCATCGTGTGGATGCATTTTTAGCAGGATTAGCCCCAGCATTGAAAACCCTACCCCCTCGAGAATGGATTGAGAGTAAAAACTAAATATTTAATGTCGTCCACAAATACGAATTGAAGGTGCTTGCGAACCAGCAGCAGTTCACGTCATCATGTGACGTTTCCGTGCTTTCCACCCCATCATACTCGTCTGGACAATCTCCCCGATCCATAAACTATCAGCCTACCTATGAATTTGAGCAACCACAAACTACTGGACAATGTTCCCAAACCTTAAACTCTCAGTCTATCTATGAGTTTGGAAAGCCACAAACTACGGATGAAAAGCCAGAGAGCAACTATATTCTGCAACAGTATTTCCAACATTATCCCCAGTAATCATTAATCGAGAACACATTTAAGTATTGCTGTTTCTGTTACGACATACTGTAATAAAGTTGTATTTTTTTCTTTTTAATTTCACTAATGACTTTTATTTAATATTACCCGACACTTACCTTAAGCAAACTGCCAGTCTTTCTCTAGGAGTGGTTGCTTTTCTCCAGCGCGTATCTTGCTTTGCTATATCAACTTCCAACTTATTCAGCAGTAAATTGAACGAATTTTCAGTCATTCTGAAGTATTCAAAAAATTTCGTTCCATCATCTACTAATTCCTTGTAAAGTGTAGCGAATTCCCCTTCTGTTCCTCTCTTTTTCCATGCTTGATGAACCCACTTCCGTTTTCTTCTCGTTTCTTCTTCTTCATCCAGAATTAATGCAATAATTGCAAGTTCATCCTCTGAAAATTTTGCCATTTCGACCTCACATGAACACAACTGCACTGTCAGAGCACGGAGAAAAATACTGATTGATGTGAATTGAAAACACTGTCAGCTCACGTCAGCGAGGATCACTGGCACGTCACGGCACTGTCACGTACATAATGGGAAGTGCTTACAACTGACTGATCGTAAGCATAGAGTTTTCATTACAAAGAATGAAATATCAGCCATTTCATCACAGTTAATGGTAGAAAGAGGAATTCCACAAGGTAGCGTCTTAGGACCTCTCCTCTTTTTAATTTTTGGGCAACAGCTACAGAACGAGTGCATATCAAGTAAACAGCAGCTACTTATAAGTTCACGATCTGTGTGCTAGTATTACAGGCCCAAATAATGTATGCACGATCCAATATGCTGATGACACTAGTGTACTAGTCTCTGGCCAAGATTTCAGCCATTTAGCTTAAAGTACTTTGAGCCTCTGCGAGAAAACGTTTTTGTGGTTTGCTCGTAATAGATTATCCCTGAATACCTCAAAAACAAATGCGATTGTTTTTAAGTTAAGAAAAAAAATCCCTCAGATAGACCGTGGAAAATTCTTGGGAGTTCATTTTGACCAAGCACTTTCCTGGGCCAAACATATAGAACATCTAGAAAAAAGGTTAAACAACGCATGTTATAGCATTGAAGTACTAAGTAAGTACCTAGACCTCAAGACTCTAAAAATGGTATATTACGCGAATTTTGAGTTCATTGTATGTTATGGAATAATTTTCTTCAGACATAGTAGCCATACCAATAGAATCTTTCTATAATAGTGCAGAAGCGAGTGCTGAGGTGCATCCTAAAAATTTCCTCTAATTTTTACATTTAAAAATATTGACAATTTTATCGGTAACCCACGAAGTGACTATAACACAAGAAATAGAAATATAAATATTTTGTATCCAGTCCATCATCTCACGGTTACCGAAAAAAATGTCCATTACAGCTGCACTGAAATATACAGGATATTAGAAGGTTGGCGGATATAAAAAAATATAAAAAGAGTATTTATCAATTGTTAATGCACTAAGAACCATATGACCTTCAAGAATATTTTGAAATGTAAAATCTCTATTATGTTATATGTTTGCCTCTTTGTTTTTTCTGTCTCGATGACACTGTGACGTATATTTCATCTAACAGTGTGTAATACGTGGTAATCACACACTGTTATTTTGAAATAATGATTTATTATTATTATTATTGTTATTCGCCCTCTGCTGTTTGTTTCATTTTATCGCAGTTAAAATGGAGGATGGTAATTGTCCGTAGATATCAGAAAATAACAATTTGTGGCTTGGTTGTAAAAAATGGACAGGATTGATTTTGAAGGATAATTTATTTTTAAGATCATAATGTAATGCGCACCAGACTTTATATTTTTTTAACCTATAAGAAATAACCGCTCGAATGCTCGAGGATGGTTCAAATTTTGGAACTCAATTCTGTTACTGTGGCTTACTAGCTTGGTATACAAATTCTCTAAAGCAACCAAGGCGATAAATTAGTGATTTAGGTCCAACGATCTTGGTGGCCATGAAATAAGGCCACCCTGCCTAATCCACCTTTATGAATCTTGCATGGCCTACCAGACGTGCTAAACAGTATTTTGTCAAAAGGTGCAGGGCATGTATTAGGGCCAATGGTATCACTTTTTACATCTACTCTAGAAAATTTGATAAAAAACCTCTAAAACACATCAGCATTTTTGTGATAATCTAGAATCAAGAAAACAACCAATAAGGTGTTAGAAAACAGCGCCATTCTACAAATCGCATGAATCCTACATCTTTTTAAAGTATTTGGCATCTATCTGGCCGAGAGTGATGTGGCGGGGTATTATCATAATATAATCATAAACCCATACAGAAATTATTCTGAAGTGTGTTTCTAAAGAAAAAAAAACATCATCGCGTCTGTAAATGAGGCAAACACATCTGCTGTAACATAATAATACTAATAATACTGCGCCACAACATACTCGGTCAGATCGAGACCACTTTGATTACACAAATTCAACATATCTTAACTGTAAATTATCCTTCAACATCAATCCAGTCCATTTTTTGTATCCAAGCTGGTATTTTCCGATATCTACGAAAACTGAGCCCCCTCCATTATAACTGCAAAAAAATGAAAAAAAAAAAAACAGCAGAGGGCGAATAACAAATGGTATTTAAAAATTGCCAATAGTTGGCCAAGTTTTTTGACTTAATGGCGCAGTGCTCGTACTTGATCCTCTCAGTCTACAGGGCATCACAGTCAGACGTATAAAGAGGTTTTAATAAAAATGTCGACTTCGGCATGACTTTTATGTGGCTTTTTTTTGCCACCTTGAGGAAAAGAACTTCTGGACGAGATGAAATTTTCAAGTCTGAGGGTTTTAATTTGAAACAAACCTGGTCTAAAAAAATGATATTTGTAGAAATGCTTATAATTATCTGTTCTGATGTGGATGTTCTTAGTGCTGCAAGTTGAATAATCTGTTTTATCAACCACCAAATTAAATACTTTGACATTATTTTTTTCTTCATATTTTAGGTCAAAGCTGCTCTTTTCGATACCCTTTCAGGGAATTCCAACATAGATCATCCTTTATGTGATGAATGTACAGATAATTTGATAGAAATGTTAGACCAGCAGCTGAGGATCACACAAGAAGATTATGATGATTACAATAAATATTATAAAATGTAAGAAAAAAATGAATTCAACCATCAATACTTTGTTTGAATACATAACATTAATTTGTTAGCATGTTTTTGAGATACAGTTTGGTTCCGTTACTGCATCTCTCTGTATTCTCAGTTAATATCTGTTTATATTTGTATTTGTGTAGCATAACAACAATTTTGGTTGAAAAATGTGCTTTCTGTTTTGCAATATCTCGCCCGGTGAATGTAATAGTACATTACATAAACCGGGCATACGTAGTATGAGACGTGGGCCATTTTAACCTGATGCCCATAGCGCCAAAGGATATAATGTGTGAGATCAATAATGACCTTCTCAGACAAGGTATGCGTGTTTGTAGAATTGCCTTCACTGCTTACACTATATATCACAAAATATTTTCTTTTTCTTAACATTAAAAGCAGTTTACAAACATTATGTCCATTATTGGGGTATTCAAGAAGGAGAACTACAAAAGGAGCTATAATCAAAAATACGTATTTCTCAATGATTCTAGTATATTCCGAAATATAATGTTCGGTTGTCAAACTGACGCATCAAATTGACACAATACAATTTCAAATAACATAATTTGCCAAGATGTTTTTTGTTTTTATTATTTACCTAGGGAGAGAAATGCTAGTTTTCAATAAGGTAGTGTGGTCAATAATAGTGATTTCTCTGGTTAATAGTGAAAGGGATGTTTTATGTAGTTGATACTTGAGATGTCATATCCTATAAATACATCGTTCTAAATATTTAATTAATTGACTATGTACCTTAGCGGTTGAACAAGTTAGTACAGTCAAATTTATACAGGTTACAGAATGAAAAAGATGAACCAAAGCTAAATGAATTAGAGAAAGAGCTGAACGACCTGAAGGCAGAAGAGGAAAGGTACTTGAGTGAATTGGATGCACTTTGTAAAGAAGAGGAGGAAATGCGAAAAGCCATAGATGAACAGGAGGCCATATCAAAAAAAATCGCCCAGGAGGAGGAACGATATTGGAAGGAATATGCGCGGCATAGGAGGGATTTCTTGATGCTTGAAGAGGAGGGCAGAAGGTATAATAATAATAATAATAAACGAGTTTTTATGTGGGGGGAAGTTTAGCCGCAAGATATTCCACCATTTAACCTCTTGAAAGACAATCACTACAGTATTGCAAATAGCCTTAACAAAACATTAATCCAAAACAAAAATGGAAATTATTAATTTAAATATAAATATGTATGTATAATTATAAAATAAACTTTACAAGATCCTTATAGTATCCAGAAATATGAGGATGTATAAATTTATGAAGTGAATTACATCAATATTTATATGATTGTATAAATGCATGGATATTTGGCGATTAACGAGAACTTATTCGCTAAATAAGAGGTAGTATGTGCAACTCAGTTACATAAATACAAGCTGAAAATTCTCATTTCTACAAATAATAACGTATATTCAACTTCTATATGTTCACACAATAAGTGACTAGACAAATGAATTTGTTATGATATAGTCACGGACTAATTCTGACTCATTCATTCTGGTCAACCAGAAGTGTCACCATTTTGAAAATATTTTAGCCCAATTTGCTTGATTTGTGATGAAACATTTAATGATTTGGAAATCCTAGTAATATATTACTTTGCTGAAAATGTATGATCACTTTAAACTGATCTGTTAAACATAAAAACGTCAAGAGCTATTGAACAGTTATCATAGTAATAGCATATAATAGTTACTAGTTATTTTACTCCATCTTTTTTGAAAATCGACCCATAAGGAGATCATTTTAACAAATAAGAAGCGATATCACGTGGTGAGCAAAAAATCGACAAATCTCAAAACAATTTCTCTTAAAGCGCTTCAGTTGGTCATACCAAAGAGTAGTTATACAAAGAGAAGACAGTTACAAGGCAAATAAAGTAAAGGGAGATACGAAACATATTCAAAAACACGTCCACAAAACAGATGATGGCGCTTAAACACGTGTGGTGGGGTGCGTTTATAAGGGATTTATGTAATGTAATACCGTGCACAGAAATGGAATGTAGATTGACAGATGAAATTTTACTTGGGAATACTGTGTAACTTCATTTTTATAACGCCTAAATTATTGCAGTCATGTAATGACACTTAGTGACAGCAAACTAATTTCTAATCACGTTTTCTGCAACCATTTTTTATTATAAGGAACGCTATGGATACGAGGTAGTTCATCTACTGTGAAAATATGTATTCTGCGAATTTTGAGCTCTTTTTGATATCCAGATAAAGTAAACAAACAATGCACCATGCGAATGATAAGTGACAACACTCTTACTCCTAAGGTTTCGAGCACGGGAAGAAAAGCATATTTTTGACGTTCTAGAAGAATTACTTTGTTCTCTTTCCGAACGCATGAAACAGGTATGTTGCTGACATTTTTACAGAGTAGTGCAAAGTGCACTCTATAGCAATTCACGAACGCAGCCCTGTTCGTATTTCGTCGGAGATAAATGCGGTGTTGCTAGATAGATAATACTTTTTATATAAATTCATTGACCATCACTTGCAGTGAAAGCATTTGTTCGAATTTACGTCTGTTTGGACATGTTTTCAGGGTGGGGTTATCTATCATCTGTTTGCAGCCTACAAGTTATCACACAGCTATTTAACTTTTATGGCAGTACGCAGAATATTACACGATTTAGTTTACTAACAAAAGAGAAACGTTCGCTTGAAATTCAAAAATGTTCTATCCTCAAATTGTTTATTAGATCAATCCTCCTTCTATTTGACCTGGCTGCCAGCTACTAAAAACCGTGGAAAGAACTGTATTCCGTTCAGCTTCATATAAATGTAGCGTTTTCTAAAGTTTTATCGTAGTTTCGCAACACCGCCTCGGTACATACAGAGAAACCTATGCGCGAATCGCTAAACCAATGACGGTTCGCTCATAGATCGCTGTTTTTATTGGTAAACCAATAATAGTCCATGAGCCGATTTCAAAGATATGGTTACATCGCGTACTGATAGATGTTAGAAACTAGTCAAAGCTTACGTATCGACGGTGTATTTGACATGGTTGCCAGTTATCTAGACTCTCCGGCCTTAAGACGATCTGACTACATATTTCGTATGACTTTTTGACGTAACAACTAAAAACTGTGGAAAAACTGAACTCTGTTCAGCTCAGCATAAATGTAGCATTTTCTAAACATCTGATCAGTTTGGTAACACCGCCTCGGTACATGCGGTCACATATGAGCGACTGTAAATCGAAAAACTAAGTTCAATTCATATAATTACTATTTGCCATTACTTAGGGGCGTATTTTCAGTCATTCCTACAATTATTATTGCAGGATGCCTTTATGGGCTCCTTAATTTTCATAGTTTTTCCCGTCCTTTAGGAAGGCAGGGGTATTTCGTTTCTGTGCTCTATTTTGAGCTTATAGTTTCTTTTTGATTTCTAAGAAATTTCAGGCTGATAAAACTTCTTTTTTATTATCTGTTTTATCAGCTTAAAATTAAAAAACCAGTAGAAATACCGAAATATCCCAGCCTTTCTAAATGAGAGAAAATACTATGAAAATCAAGGAGGCCATAAAGGTGTCCTGTAATTGTAGGAACTACTGACGATACGACCCTTAGTACAAACAACTGACGAATGTTGAATTTCAAACTGCAGTTCAATTTCACAGGCTACTGATTTGACATACAAAAGCCAAAAATGTCACGCTTTCAATGTCGCGTTAGCCTGTCAGAGGTTTATGATATTTCTGCAGCACAAATTATATGAACGACATTCGCGTCAAAGTGTCCGCCTTGGTTGAACGTTGAGCCCGCTATAATTCCAACAAATTCCAAATGATTTGTCACGTTTCTTCATTTTTCATGTGCTTTATTTTTATAGGATCATCCACCCGGGCTCCTATTTGCAATCAATGGAGTCACAAGTCACTAATTGTGAATGTATAATCGGTATGCATAGATGATATAGATCAATTAATTGACTTGGCATCTAGGATCGTGTGATCTAGCAATTATTTTTGTGGTTCTAAAAGGTGTACACAAATTTCTGGAGACAGTTGAAGCTTTTCAAGCCAATATTTATTCTGTTATTGCTAATACATGCCTCATAATGCTCCAAAAGGTGAATCGGTTTGTCAGATTCGTAAGTCGCTTCATAGCGATTTTTTTGTTTTGTTGTATTGTACTTGTAAAAACAATAGGTTATTCTTCCATCCTCCGCTATTCCCATTATAAGAAAAGAAACAAATCATTCTAGCATGGAATGCCAGCTGAACCACGCGAACGCCCAACTGGACCGTCTGCAACGAACCAACGTATTCAATGCAACTTTCCACATTTGGCACATGGGTCATTTCGGTACCATCAATAATTTTCGTCTGGGCAGACTGCCGTCTGCACCGGTAGATTGGTCGGAAATCAACGCTGCCTGGGGCCAAACTGCCCTGCTTCTGTCAGCACTTGCCAGGAAGATCGACCTGATATTCAAGCGGTACAAACTGGTGCCGTTCGGAAACCATTCACATATTGTTGTAAGTGTTTATTGATTTGTATACCTATGTGTATTTTTTATACCTCAGTCACCGTAAGAGCACATTACCTAAGTACTCACCGGGTACCGTGCGGTTATGGAGGCAAACAGGGGAAGAGCGGATAGGAGGTCCCTGATGTGGGATGCGCACATTTCCAACGTCCAGTATATAGATCCACTGGGTGGTACCTGCTCGTTCGACGAAGAACCGTCTACTACATTCAGAGTCAATCATAACAAAACTCTAAGCTAATATTATTTTTTTTCTTTACATGATCCAAACCTTTACAGCTCATACCAAGGAGGTTTTTAGAGTACATCTTGAACCATCGAGCCGCCAAACTTTATAGAGGAAACTCACTATAACTAACAAAAAAAAAAAAACAATTGTGAGGGCATCGCTTGATTGGTACCATTACTGGTTTCTCAACCACCTGACTACGTTGAGATAATGGAACTGGAGAAATTCCCTTTTAGATTATTCCACATTCTGAATAACTTGGAAATAAGAGAACGGTCATATTATAATTGTATTCGCCAGTTTTCGATGTACCAACCTCAACTGACTTATTGTGAGAATCAGACACCTGATGAGTCCATATAGCCGACCTAGAATGTGGCGGCATCATGCAGGAAAGCTCAGATGAAAAGCTTGGCACAGCACCGGCTGCCCTTAAGGAAGTGTAATTAGTTAGGTGGCACCCTAATTACATAACTGCAAAATGGCAGGGATAACATCTGATCGCCATAATTGTCACTTTGGAACTATGTAATTATCATTCACTTCATGTTCATTTGCAGTATCTGTCTTGCATAAATGTCAACATACCTGAGCTAGGTGCTGTGGATCTGATGTAATGTAACATCTGCTTCAGAGACGGCATTAGCGGAGACTATTCATAACAGCTTTAAAATATAAGTCAAGGTGCCATTCCCCCATAGCTGGCGTTCATAGACCATAAGAGTAGCTAATACACAAGTGACAAGTAAGACGGTCAGATCGCTATCATAGCGATTATTTTACACAATACGGATACGGATTGTCCTCAGTATTGCACATGATGGATAGTGTAGTTGAGGCTGCAGCTTTCCAGATATGTGAGCAGTCTTCTAGGATTTTATTTAAGCTTGCAGCTTTAAATAGGATATCGCGACCTCTTTTCAGCATAGACGTGTTCCTGTATAATCATAGGCTCAATAATCTCAACTTTCACAAGTCAAAACTAATGTTTTCTCGGTAAAGCAAGTTAAAAAAATGGCTGGCATACATTACAGTGGTTTATATTAATTACTAGTATTAGACATCTTTATCTAGCTTATTAGGACAAGACAGCCCAGTTTTAACATTTTCCAGCGTGTATATTAATTAGTATTATAATACAAAAAATTACATATATATTCAATAGAAATATAGGTCTTTTTACTGATTTTGGTGGTTATCTATTCATTCGATACGAAATAGTTAATCTTTGGCTACCTACAGCATTGGTGGAGGGCCTAAACTTTCGTAACTAAGGGATCTTTAACGCAACTGCTTTTCTCTCTTGAGTAGAGGTCCGTTATTTTTATTCAGTTTCTGAAATTGATCGGATAATTTAGGACATAGTTGTTACAATATATTACACATAGTCATAATTATATTTCGAGACATGGCTGTATTATGTTCATCCGCTCATAGAGGTAGACTGGTTGGTTATACCACTAATCGTGGCTGAATAGGTGTAGTCGTTCAAAGCAATTAAAAAAAGTAGACTAGGTGTGTATGACTGAGGGAGATGAATATGTTGACGTGATACCGGTAGTTTTACTATGTCCCGCCAAAATCTGAGAAATGACCTATAGAGGTGCTCAAACATTTTATTACTTCATCAAAATATTGTATCATTAGGTTTTTGTATTTTCTTTTTTGTTTTAGTCTTTAGATGAAGATAAAGAGTTGCCCCTGTATGGTTCTGGAGGTTTTAAGTTCATGTGGGACACAAAGTTTGACAGTGGCATGGTAGCCTTCTTAGATTGCCTGCAGCAGTTCCAAGAAAAGGTTGAGAAGCTTGAAAAAGGAAATCAGGCATTCTGTTTCCCATATAGAACTAATAAAGGCAAAATTGAAGACAAGGATGCAAGCTACTCTATCAAGTACGTAATGTCAAATCGACTGCTCTTAAGGGTGGATGTATACGATTTTGTTACATTCATTTTTGTTTTATTTTGTGTGTGAATGTATAACACCTGAAGAATTTTAAGTCAAAATTTCAAATCGAAGTTATTGGATTTTAAGTGTTCATTGCTCCAAACTGATTTTTTATACCTACTCAGGCAGAGTTTAGACGCCATCAGCTGTTTTGTTGAGGCCATGTTTGTGGTGACCTTTCTATCTCTCTCTAAAATATGCGCCTTGTCTGTCTTCTCTTGATAGAACTACTCTTGGTTATAGCATAGAGATCAGTTTAAAAGGCAGTTGACCTTTAAGCGTTTGTCTGAGACGTGATTTATGAAGTCGATGTACGCTGTATCTCAAAATCTAATATACCGATCCTTTTGAAATCTTTGCTGGTTCAGCACATAAATCAGCAGGTAACCACAGTGAGTTTTTTGTTTTCTCATTTATTTTCAATTTTATTATAAGGATTTTTTCGTTTTTTTTCACCGAAAATCGTGTTGTTGACTTTCGGGAGCTACAAAAAAGAATAGAAACAATTGAAAAAAAAATAAATACTTACGTAGTTATCTCGCAAAACCTCTCACTTGATAAACCTATTTGGTTTTTTTTGTTCCGACAAACCAGTTACGAGTAACTACATCGCAAAACAACTTCCTTATGCGGTGCCTCCGGAGATCTGCTGCCAAAGGCTTTTTTTTATAGAGATTTCACATTGAAAATTTAACGGAATATAGTTCAACTATCATATTATTGTAAGGTAATTGGGGCCGTATCGTCAGTCGTTCCTACAATTGTAGGACGCCTTTATGGCCTTCTTGATTTTCATAGTCTTTTCTCTCCTTCAGAAAAGCTGGGGTGTTTCTAGATTTCTTCTGTTCCGTGTCAGCGTCAGCGCTCTCCTATTGTGAAATTATGTTTTTTTTGATTGCAGGAAATTTAGGGTGCTAAAACAGATGATATAACTCAAAGTCGTGAATAATTTAATGCAAGTAGATATTTGTAACATAATCTAAAAATAGAGCGCTGACAGAGAACAGTAGAAAACTATGAAAATCAGGGAGGCCATAAAGGCCCTTTTCACGGAATTACGCTCCCCCCTTAAGTATGAATAGGCTATGAATTACACGTGAGTACGTAAAAATATTGTTGCATTGATGCACAACGGGCACATTCAGAAAGCGACAGCACTGCAGCACAATTTATGTCATCCATTGTTACAATAAGTACGAAAAATGTTTTCAGTGTCCTTGTACTTACATTCAGACATACGAGAAAGTGACTTTTAAACAATTCAGAAATCAATACACAAGACCGTTAGAGGCGCTTCGTATTTTTCATGCTCGTTTGCCTACCTACAGATTTTTTTTACAGAATCCAATTGAACTCCGAGGAACAGTGGACTAAGGCTCTGAAATTCATGTTAACAAACTTGAAATGGGGCCTAACATGGGTATCATCGCAGTTTAATAGCGATGGAGAAGAAATACTATCATCATCAGACAATTAGCCCTAATTTATTTATGTTTAAAAGGAACGTTGACGTTCTTTTTACAAAATGTAAAAGTAATCAATTTTATGCAATATGAATACTAAAAAGTCATTTAAATATTAAATATATTTAAATATAAACTATTTTTGTTATCCAATTATCAGACTGATTTCTTGTACATATTAAAGTTTGTCCCTTTTATATTGACATTTTTACTCTACCAACCTCTGATTCCAATAACTGCGGTAAACTATATATTTTAAAAACGGTCTTCAAAGTAATCGCCGATTGCCGAAACGTGCAGCGTGCAACACGTATGAAAGAAAGAGATTGAAGCACCACGTTGCCTAGCAACCCGAGTGACGAGGTCACGGATGCAGCTGCGGCTTGCCGCGTTGTCAGCGGTGCACTTTCTAACATTCGTATTGCACGTTTCTCGCGCTTCTCTCTTGTACACATTAAGACATCAGTGGTATATGGATTTCACTGTATACCACGGGTCAGTGAAATCACTTACCGCCAATTGGATTTTACGCGCATCCCATGGCAGCACATTATCAGCACACCGAGCACCAAAATAACGGGAGCTGACGGATCGGGCTATGTTTTTTGTGCTAAGTGCTCAAATTACTTGTGCCCTGCTCAGCATTCAATTATTGTGTGGTACTCGTAGATTTAAGAGGAACTTTTTGTGGACGACTGTTTTGTGCCAGAACAAAAGCCATTAAAATAATTTCTCCGAAAAAGTTGAGGTACAGTATTCCTATGCAGTAAATCCGCGGTAATCCTTATCATATCTAATCCCGCGCCCCCTATAATCCGACACGCCTGTCACTTCGTTCTTTTCTTTCTCAGAACATCCAGTGACACCAACAAGAATTATTACCGACCCTGCTGGAACGATTTTGCTATCTAGTACTGTGCATTCTGTGTATATTTCTACTCCGACCCAAATGGATCTATTGTGACCCCCATATATACTTTCTAAAGCATTGTGTCCAGCCTTGATCCTTTAATCAGACTCCATAGCCTTGACATAGGGCTTTGCACGTAGCTTTCCGCTGTTGGTCCTACTATCTGAAACCGTAGCCGTGTCGGGCCTTCACAGTGGCAGATGTACTGGAGGTTTCCTCATGCTCTCTGCAAAAACGGCATGTGCCTTGTGCCAGATCCCAAAACCTCATTTGTCGATTTAGACCTCGGTGTCCTGTCAGGAGACGCACTATGGCCCTTATGGCCTTTCTATTGAATCCGAGGGCTTCGTTCTTTGATGATCTGTTTCGACTGTTTGCCCCATTTGGCTGTACCACCATTTTAGGGACTTTTTCTTGGTCCAATTTCGTATGGACTGCGTGTTCCCGTCACGCCACAGAAAGGCTCTGGACCTATAAGGTGATTGCCGCACTCTGTCGGGTTAGCTCATCCTTTGTACCCTTCATGTCCTGGTACCCAGAGCAATATTACCTTGTTTCGGTATCTCAACCCTTTGAGAGTGTTAACGCAATCCCATACTAGTACTACACTTTGTTTGATAAATTGAACCTAAATCTAACATCTCTAGTGAATATGTCCGATATATTTATTAAAAGTGCCGGATGGTGGTCATCCTCAGGAATCATATGAATATCTTCATGAAGGATTTGTGCAAGAAAAATGAAAAACAACTAAATCTAACAGACGGCTTAATCCGTCTTGAACATTATTATATTGTGGTAGGCTGAGTAAAGCTAAATAGTTTTGAATGACGTGTGTTTTAGCGTCAACGGGATCGCTATCGATAAAATGCAGTACATTGAAATCGCCTAGAAGTAATGTGGCATTTCAGTTGAGATAATCAAGTTGTTAAAGGCACTCAAAAAACGATTCCTCGGTGCCCATATTGTCTGGTATATACAGGGTGACTTTGAAGTTGAGTCATTAATTTTCAGATAATGATTGTAGAAGGAAGATAAACCAAAATATGTGTGTAAAAATAAAAAAAAATGTTACCTTGTTTTATAAAGTATCCTCCCGACAAGTATTTCAGTGCGGACCTGTATTTGATCGTGCGGTCTTGGAGCAAAATGAAAAACAACTAAATCTAACAGACGGCTTAATCCGTCTTGAACATTGTTATATTGTGGTAGGCTGAGTAAAGCTAAATAGTTTTGAATGACGTGTGTTTTAGCGTCAACGGGATCGCTATCGATAAAACGCAGTACATTGAAATCGCCTAGAAGTAATGTGGCATTTCAGTTGAGATAATCAAGTTGTTAAAGGCACTCAAAAAAACGATTCCTCGGTGCCCATATTGTCTGGTATATACAGGGTGACTTTGAAGTTGAGTCATTAATTTTCAGATAATGATTGTAGAAGGAAGATAAACCAAAATATGTGTGTAAAAATAAAAAAAAAGGTTACCTTGTTTTATAAAGTATCCTCCCGACAAGTATTTCAGTGCGGACCTGTATTTGATCGTGCGGTCTTGGAGCACCGGCATGCCCTCCCCTGTGAGGTCTTAAGTCACCTGATTCACGAGTCCTTTGTACTACATTAACAAAGGCACGAGGGGTTGGTTGCACTCGATTGGGAAACCGATCCCCCGTAAATAAAAATCATGTCCACAAGTTCAGCATTTTCGTAAACATGTGCCATTTTTTATTTCGTTTGAGCCACGCAACAAACACCACTATTCACTCACGCGTTACCGACTGACACATGTACTGAATACAACTGAATAAAATTCTACATTGTAGTAAAAACATCCTTTCAAATTCTTTCGCTTTTTTGTTTCCGATGCGATGAACGGATAAGGCGGATTATATCCGTTGTTGCCAGACACGAGCACATAATATTATTATTGAGACAAGGCAGTACTCAAACTTCTAAAGGGCTATAACTTTGTTACTTTAATTTTACCAGAAAAATGTTAAAGGAAACAAACATTTCTTTTGATCAGATCTACTCACTGTTAAAATAAATGACTCAACTTCGAAGTCACCCTGTATACAGTTACTACGTAAAATGTTTTAAATTCCAAACTACATGAACAACTAATAAGTCCATGGATGGAAACTGCAAATCTAAACATGTATTATCTAAAGCCTCAGAATTCATAATGTCCTTAACAGCTAACAAAACACCACCACTAGAAGACTTACTATACCAATCCTATTAAAATTCCGATCTTTTCTGTAGACATTGTAAACATCTGGAAAAATTCCGAGTTGGAAGTACCAGGGTTCACTTAATGCCAGAATGGCAAAATCACACTCACTTGCCGAAGAAAAGAAAACATCCACCTTACTATTCAAACCACGTATATTCTGGTATATACATTGAGAGATTTTCCTATACTACTGGAACTGTTGGAATTTGTCACTTTAAATTCCAGACCAGCTTAGGTGTACCAGTAACATACTTGATTCTATACTTTTCAGGACCTTGGGCATTTTTTGTCTTAAGTTCTCTCTGCAATTCTTTATAGTGTTCGATCTGTCTATGGGTGCGATCAAAGGAAATTGTACACATGTTTGAAATTGCTGTTCTTCAGACTTTTAGATTTCTTAACGATTTTCATAATTTAAACTTCATCTCGTAAGGAAAAGTCTGATGGGTTTCAGATCTTGCACCTGCACATTGATCTGTGCGGGATTGAGCCTGATCATTTGGGTTTTGCTCTGGCAAGCCGAACATTATGATATTTTGTTTGCGTGAGTTCCTTTCATCAATCTTTACAATCCCTAGCATCAGGCTTCAGCGTAGCATTCTCAGCTTTTATTGCCTTGATATCTTCTTGAAGTGACAGTATTAAATTAAAGAGCCAGTGCATATGCCGCTTAAGCGGGCCCTTATGCACCTCTACATTCCTTAGATCACAAGCCTCGCCCTTTTAGCGAAGTTGAGAATCGCCTTGAGTCCAGGTTCCTTGACGTCCTGAGGGTCCAAAGTAATGGACCCCAGTATAGTCTACCTATAGTAGCTCAGAGCTTCACAGCGACACAAAAAGTGCGTCGAGGTCTCTTCCTCTACCTCGCAGCGTTCACACAAGGGATCCTCAGCCACCCCCATCACGTGCAGGTGGCGCCTTAACGTGTTATGGCCAGACAACAGTCTCACCAGCAACCTTAGGTTGGCTCTATCCAGAGATAGGCAGAAACGTCCATCCTTAGCACTGGGCTCTTCAATGAGTTCCCGTGTCTGGCGGAGATGTCTGGAGATACTTCTCCATTTCTGAGAGTGTTGTCTTGCAACCCACCGCTCCATTTTCCTCGTAGCTTTATGCGCGGTCACTCCTAGAGCTGGCTCAGGACCAACGAGCTTGCTGGCTGATCCTGTCTTCGCCAGAGTGCCTGCCGTCTCATTGCCCCTTATCCCAGCGTGCCCCGGTACCCATATTAACGATACCGGATGCCTCGCTGCGAGCCGATCCAGAGCCTCTCTGCATTGCAATACAAGACTCGAAGTAATCTTACAGGCACTTAGTGCTTTCATTGCAGCCTGGCTGCCGGATAAGATTTGTTATTCTTCTCCTAGGCCCACCCTCCTCCAGAATGTGAGATACACAAGCCAGAATCGCAAAGATTTCCGCCTGGAAAATGGTGGTGCATCCACCGAGAGGCAGAGATAGCCTAGTTCTAGGCCCAGAGACCCCAGCACCTGAGCCCTCTTCGGTGACCGAGCCGTCCGTGTACCAGACCTGGCCGCTCACTTCGGAGAGTCCCCGGCTACCGGCGTCCCACTCCTCCCTCGTTGGATACTCCACAATAAACTTGCGGTTGAAGCGATATTTAGGGGTAATACGATCATCCCTGCTTAGAAGGACGGGGTCCTCCCTTTGCAATTCGACTAAGATGGCAGTATGCCCCTTGACAGGATTCAAGAAAGCCCAGCTGCCCTGACTCCACAGTCGATGAGCGACTACTCTCGCTTCACCGCGGATCACCAGATCTAACGGTGGGAGATCCAACAGAGCTTCCATTGCACTCAATGGCGTTGTTCGCCCTGCGCTTGTAATACTAATACAGGCCAAACGCTGAATTTTATTGAGTTTGGCCTTAGTTGTCTCAGTTCTAATGCAAGGCCACCAGACCAGGGAGCCGTACAAGAGAGACGGACGTACTATCGTCGTGTAGAGCCAGTATACCACTTTGGGTTTAAGCCCGGACCTTACACCGACAACACGTATACAGGCCCACATTGGATTGCGAGCCTTG